TGATTTTTAATATCAGAATACAGGCAAGCCTGGAGTGCACTCTGTACTAGTGAAGCTGACTGTGTTAGTAAAAGCATAAAGCTTTTGAATTTCATTCACTTTCAGCTGCCTTGCATTAGATCTGTGCAAAATAAACCAAGAAACAGGGGGCTGAAAGGCTCCTCTTGATAAGGCAATGTCGGAGTAAGTGCTGCACATTTGATTTGAAGAACAAAGTGTAGCACAAGGAGTGTTACCCTTGCTTGGGCAAACACAGTGCATGTTCAAAGCAAATGAAGGTAGACAAATGGCTACAAATATTGCTGGATAAACTGCACTATCTGAAAAAAACAATACTTCATAGCTACAATGTTTTATGTGGTCCGAGGGCTGGAGCACCTCTCTTCCGAGGGCAGGCTGAGAGAGTTGGGCTTGTTCAGCCTGGAGAAGAGAAGGCTGCGGGGAGACCTGATTGCGGCCTTTCAGTACTTAAAGGGGGCCTATAGGAAAGATGGGGAACGTCTTTTAGTAGGGACAGCTGTGACAGGACAAGGGTTAATGGTTTCAAACTGAAGCAGGGTAGGTTTAGACTAGATATAAGGAAGAAATTCTTTACAATGAGGGTAGGAAAACACTGGAATAGGTTGCCCAGAGAGGTAGTGGAGGCCACATCCCTGGAAACATTCAAGGCCAGGTTGGATGGGGCTCTGAGCAACCTGATCTGGTTAAAGGTGTCCCTGCTCACTGCAGGGGGGTTGGACTAGATGACCTCTAGGGGTCCCTTCCAACCCAAAACATTCTATGATTCTAAGCATTTACATAGTGAAAAACACTTCTAAAATATGCTAACTGAAAAACATGCACATAACAGCATACAAAATATGGTAGTTTAGTATTTGCACTCCTTTAGTAATACACTTACCATTATTTTTGATATTTCAGAGCCACAATTAAAGAAAGAAATTTCCATGTACACAATGACAACTTATTAAACTCTCCAATGTTCACAAGTTCAAGGATGTAATTAGAAAGGTGCATGTGCTCAGTATTTGAGCTATGTCCACCGGCAGGCGATCTGACATACCTTCCAAGTTTAAAGTTGTACATTTTTGCTGACTAACCTGTGGACTGGATTTTAAACTCAAAATAGCTCTTGTTCTGATGTAAAGGTGCATTGGCTAAGCAGCCTCCTGTGCCACATATTCTTCTGCCATTTTTAACAATGACGACATCTGTTCCTGCAAGAAGAAAAAAAAAAACTCAAAACTTCAAAACATTTTTAGAAGTCTGGAAACAGCCCTTAAGAGTTCTAAACATCGAGAACACTTTTTAGGTCTTTCTGCCCCAAGTAAGAGCTTTATTAGTTCATGAGAATTATGACGATGGGCCATGCTTCAAAGTAAGAAAACGAAGGCTGTTTACAGGTAGTTCATCTTTCAACTAAGGCTTATTTATCTGAAATCTATACGCTGCTCTCATTTTGCCTCGTGGCAATTTTACAGCGCCATGCTGATTGCAACCTTTGCTCAGCCACATCAGAAGCATAACTTACAATTTAGTCAGAAAGGCTTCACTGTGAGAACAAAGCCCTGTACCTTGTCTCTATACATCAGAGAAAAAAAAAATCTGCCAAGAAAAGGAAAGGCACATCGGATAAAAATGTTTGGTTGAATTGCAAAGTGTTTAATTATTCTCTGAAAAAATCCTTTTGTTAGAAACATGCCTGCCAATACAGAGGGGAAAAAGCCTCTGCTAAGCTTTCCTTCTCCAATGGAAAACTTCATCTTTAGGCACTGTTGTCATGATCAAGAACGTGGGAAACAAAGGTCCACCGATACAACTGACTATAACTGGGCTAATAACTGGGCTAATAACTGCGCTTGGGCACCGGACCCTGGGCGGGCCACACTGCTTTCCTCCCGGCTCTTTCCCCGGCTCTGCTGCAGCTGACCCAGTTCACTTCCCCGCTCGACAAGGCCCGGGCACGGTTCTGTGGAGAGTTCATCCTAAGGATGACGCTCAAAGATCGGTATGGACGAGACTCCGCATGGTTACCCCCCGACGCCACTCAGCCT